TCATGTAAGTTGCACTTATTCAAGCAGATATTGGGTGCAATTTGAAATATGCCGGTAGCTCATACACTCAATTGTATGAAAAATTGAATTAGTGCAACTGACAGCTAAAATTATCTTATTTAGCACACAGTTTTAAGTGAAATCTTAACAATCGCGACTTTGATCATTCGCTTCCCGCTTTTTCAAGTAAATTTCACTGCCCTTTTTATTTCCTTGAATCTCATTTTCTAATTGCTTTTCTTTATGTGCAAGCTAGTATTTGTTCAATCATGTCGTTTCGCATTTCATATCCGCATGGGGTTGAGACCGGCGCAGAATTTTGCTGCTGTTCAAGCTGGTCACGATCCCCGAAATCAGGTGGCAGGCTTTCCGCCCCACCTAAAACATTGACAAAGAGCCATCCCTCAAACTGCCTCCATGCACTCTGCCGCTTTATTCGCTTCCGCCGTCCCAAAAGGCTGCGTCGCAGGGACCGCTGGTGGTGTCCGTCAGAGTGTTGCCTTGTCCCGGGGTGTGCGTGACATGTGCATCACGCAATCGCTGGGGCTTGAATTTGGTCCGTGTTCCAGTGGCGGCAGGCGCTAAGGAGAGGCTGGTGCAGATAACCGGACCCGGTGAAGAGAACGTGCTGTGAGTGAGCGTCGTCACTTCCAGTGACAACTTTGTTATTGTCCTCCGTGTTGATCCTGTCCTCAGGCAGTCCAGTTTTGGGATATTGCGTCTTTGTCATAACCCGGTTAATGTGTCTGTTTCTGCGCAGCCATTTCCCTATCGCTACCTCCTGTACTCATTGCTGGGCAACAGTCTTCGGACGGTCCAAGCACTGGTTATGTCGGCGTGTGTTGGCTGCCGCTCTGTAGCGACGCCGAATGACGGTCGTCCTCTTAATGCAGCCGGGCCCGGGAACTGATCGAGGAGGTGATTCGGCGCAACGCGTCGCCGGCGCGCGACGAGCGCGGCTCCGTCTACTCGCTCACCGCCGGCGAGGGCTCCACGGGCAGCCTCAACAGCGCCAACTCGGACGACAATATCGGTGAGAGGGCGGGGCACCGGCAAGCTGTTCCGCCACGTCTCGCCTGTGTTGTGCTGTCATCAGCGTGGTTTCATTGCTAGGTGTTCGTGCAGCGCAAAATTATGTGCTTACCTGAAATGGGCTTTGGAGACCATGTGGGACGGATACCGATACAGACGGATGCTATTTACACTGATTGTACGGCTGTTTGCCAGAGCGTTAACTATGAGCTCCTAATCCACAAGCTGAAACATTCATACCATTTGAGGAAATATACAATGCAGTGATTTGTGTAGTATCTGTCCGACAACGTCAGAGGGTTGCCATCAACGAAAAAACGGAAGCGGGTGACCTCCGGCGTCTCGGAAAGAACACTCTTGGCTACCATTTTTTCATTGTTTATTTACAATCTTCCGTACGCCATTGAATCCGGCTGCCTTTGGTACGCTGATGAGGTACAAATTTTCCTCAAAATTACGTCCCCGGCTGACGGCCCGCTGCCGCAGAATGATCTTGATCATCTGGTAGCGTGATCGGACGGGTAGGAGCTGACCCTTAACCGGAAAAATTCAAAACGTTCAGCATGCCCTCAGGTTTGCTCCCGCCCAAGCCAAGTAGTTCGTCGGTAGAACTGAGCTTGAACGTGTGTGTAAAATTAGTGACCTTGGTGTAAATCCGGATACCAAACTAACCTCCACCTCGCATGTATCTGACAAAGTCAATAGGGCAATCGAGCACTTGGTACCCCCATTCGGTCCGTCCAAGTCGTTGCCAGTTGGTCAAGATTCAACCGACGTGCAATGATCGCTGCGTATTTTGGAAACTTGCGATCGGTTTAAGAATACTGTAGCGTGGTCTGCACGGGGTGGCTAATTCCCACACAGTATGGTCGATCCAGTTCAGCACGAGTTTCATATCTGATTGCTTGCTCACGCATTAGCCGGGTAAGCAGCCTCTCTTTCTTATGACAGCCTTCTGCTTCGTTCCAAAATCCCATCCCTAGCAGCACGAAGAGTGCAGCATGATTTACTCTTTCTGAGAAACATCTTCCAAGGTAAACCGGGTTCTTAAATCTTGCTAAGCTGTTTTCCCTTGCTTGTTCCGCCTCGATGGACACGCATCCGAACTCAGCTCGCTGCAACTTGCGGTCGTGTGCAGACTGTACAGAGCGGTCTGTTTTGCAGACTGTCAAACGTTGGAAACTTTTTTAGCCAGCGACACTGGCACGGATGCCTTTCATTGCAGCCTTGGCATTTTAAGAGCTCAAGCGATCAAGTGTGTTTTAACTCTGTGGCATCTTCACTTGATGGCATCGGTTGATTATGTCCATACTGCTTTTTGCTGTGTATGTATTGTATTTTATTTAAACAACTTCGCCCGTCAGTGGAGTGCTGCTGTGTTAGGGAGAAAAGAAGATCGACAAAACAACTCATTCTTAATTTTTGTTGTGGTCTTGGAATGTGTAGAGAACGATTGCGATCGGGCCAACCGGCCGCTGGTCTGTGAGTGACAATTACGCATGGGTTCTGTCATATCTGACATTCCTGGTCTTCCGGGCCGGATTATGGAGTCTTCCAAACAATAAAAACGACTTAGTGCCCTTCTGAAAGATGGTACACTGTTGTAAGACATCGCCAATCGTTAATATACTGCCGTGCAAGGCGAAAACAAGTACGTCACGTTGGCAAAATCGATGTTATCCTTGACGTACCTGAGCTTCACGTTAGGAGGGCACGTATTGCCATTAGGCATCCAGGGCAATACCTAAACACCGAAAGCTAGCCTCATGGACGGTTGCAGGTTTGTACGTTGCGTGCAATGCGAGAGAAAGGTGATAAGTCGCGGCTTTTTATTGGGACACGGGGGACACATAAAATTCCGAACTTAATCTAAATATTCCAGTGTCTCTGGAAAACAGCTGACCGGTTCCAAACGAGTTTTTCAGAAAGCTTATCCATGATAGGCACTCTCGGATGTAGAAAATCGCTTCAGCTGCGGGGTGAACGGCCCTGAACTTTGAGAGCCGGGATTTGCCGGCCCTGTTGCGTCGTGCAAACGGGCAATTTTGCTTGTCATGTCCAGCAGTGTACAATTTAATGATATGCGGTATCTTGAAGCGACATATTAGTAGTGTACCGGTGAGCGGCCAAGGCATTGCTAGGCGTACTCACCTGTCCGAGGTGACTTGAATTACCGGTGATACTTTGGTCTGGCTGCTGCAACTTAACACAACCGCTATTCAGTACTGGCGTTTTTGTACATCAGGTTGATGGATTTCATTGAGTTGTGTGCCATAACGATGTGATATCATGCCTGTCCCTTAAATTATTGCCTTCCATATGGCTGTCAACATTTTGGGCTTTGTGTTGCGTATCATCCCAAGGTCTGCACGTCGAATCAAACTTTCATGACACCGGCAAACCAGTAGTTGTCCCATTTCAGGTCCGAGAAAGAACGCTTCTGGAGATTTCGGGTCATTAGGAGAGTTCAAGTACACTGTGTTTGTTGGGGAACACTCAATCAAGCTCACCGGGAAAAACGTCGATGTTGTGAAGGTAAGTGTTCAGAATCCACACTTGTCACAGACAACTAAGAAGTGGCTGCATTAATAGTTTGATTCCTCGGAGAAAAACCAGGAGAATCGAGATAAAGGTTTTTAAAGACCCTCCTGGTTTTTCTCTGAGGAATAAGACGATTACTTCTGTCTTATCTATGTGAATAATGTTCCTGGCTATTGCACTGTACAACTTACGTAAGAAGGGATTGCAGTAAACGCGCCATGCTTGGCGTCTGGGTTGGCTTCGCAGATGGGCAGCGGCACAGCTGTAGGCCGGACGTTAGCAATCAACGGTGGCATCATTATGTAGCACCGGCGAGCTGATATTATTAGATGGCATTAGGTAAGCCATCTGGTTTGAAAGAAAGCAAGGAAGTAGAAAAGCGCGCCGTTGCTTTGGCCGTGGTTTTGATGTCGATTTGTCGGCACGGATGGTTGGGTGTGGTCTAGGATTTCTTCCATAAATTAGGTGGTCTTACAGACAGAACTCTCTGAATATGATATGAACAATAACGACATACCGAAGTGTTGTGGAAGGTGGTGCTCGTGACGTGTGGTCTGTTTCCAGACAGCAAAGCTTGTACTGGACGAGTATTTCAACTCGTCGATAATGGATGATGACTCGAGCGCACTGGACGTTGTGCCGGAGGCGGAGGTCAGCCTGATGGGGTAAGTGAAACCCTCCCAGCCGCGGTGCCTGGTCAGTGCATACTCTGCCATGTGTGCTACACGTGTGTATACTGCTGGGTTCTGCGTGATTGAGCACCGGATCTATCGTTCGATGCGTCCCGACCATGCATGCATATGATGCGTCTCTATGTTTTCATCTTATATAATCTTACCTTGTTAAGCGTGCCATTGCCGTCATGAGTGATCTGCTCATGTCCTCCGGGCGTGGCTCGGTGCGCCGCCGAGCTGACGCCCGTGTGACGCCGCAGCGGCGGTGACGGACGCGTCCGGGACTGTCCCTCGCCCACCGAGCTGATCGCGGCCGAGGCGTCTGTGGTGGCGGCGCCGCGGCCCGAGCCGCTGACGCTCGCGCCGGCGCCGGCCGCCCAGCCGTCGCCGCTGCCGTCTCCTCAGCAGCAGGCGGCGGCCGAGGGCGGCGGCGCGCCGTCCGAGCGCCGCATGGTCTTCACCCGGCGCCAGCCGAGCTCCTCCTCGGTCGATGGCATCGTCGGAGCTGCTGCCGGTCAGTCGGTGGGCGATGGTCGGCCCTCAGGGCGCTGGACGACGATGTTGGGCGAGTCATCACTGCCATGGCTGTAACATGTTAATCGCCTCTTGTGCCGGGCCAGCTACGGTTTGTTCAGTGGTTTCAGTTTTGTAACATTTGATTGGTTTCTCTGGGTGCCAGTGGCTTGTCCGTCACGTTTGCTGACTGGGCAGTCGTGGTTGCGTCTGCGGAGGTATGCACGATCCCGCTGTTGTCCGGCATGTATTGTGGCTCTGACGCCGGCATGTGTGCGTGTGTCGTTGACAGAGCGCGCCGCCGCCAAGCCGACGCGCGTGTACACGCGCTCCGAGCTGCTGATGTTCTCGCGGTCGGCGGTGGCCCGGTACCCACCCAGGGGCTGGGCCGAGGTCCGGCAGCGTCACCCCACCATCACGCGGGCCACGCCCAAGGTCTGTGGTACCCCCCCCCCCCCCCCCCCCCACAGGCCCCGCACTTGCATCCAGCCTGCCATGGTCCGACGAGTCCTCGTGTTCGCACAGTCCCTTTTCCGCGCTTCACTGCATGCGACGGCGGCGTGCGATGGGTTAATTCCTCCTGGGGAACCAGTGTAGTATCAACGATCGAGTCAGTCTGCGTCCTTCCATTCCTTCCTATGGTGTGGTGGACCCGTCTGGCAATAGGCCCATAGACCGTTGTGAACGCTTACTTAAAATGTGGGTTGCGTCCTTTATTAGCTGTTGGTGTTTAAGGGCGCGCCGACTGCTGCGTCATTTCGTGCTCATTGGCTTGCATCCCCGCGAGAAACCTTCGCCGATGTCCATTCAGTGACTGCAGGGTAGCCGTGTGACAGCTGTTTGTTCGTCCTGTTTGGCTCCTGCGCATGTCTCCTGTCTGACCCCTGCGCATGTCCCTCGTCTGACCCCTGCGCGTGTCTCCCGTCTGACCCCTGTGCATGTCTCCCGTCTGACTCATGCGCGTATCTCCCGTGTGACCCCCGCGCATGTCTCCCGTCTGACTCATGCGCGTGTCTCCCGTCTGACCTCTGCCTGTGCCTCCCGTCTGACCCTGCGCATGTCTCCCGTCTGACCTCTGTATATGTCTCCTGTCTGACCTCTGCGCGTGTCTCCCGCCTGACCCTTGCCCACGCGTGTCCCCGTGGACCACTATCCGTTAGAGCACCTCCCGGACTGAGTTTTCAGAATCCGCTCGCCAGTCCCCGTTCCCAGATTCCTGGGTCCAATCCGGTCCAGTCCGACTTACCAAGTCTTTTGGTAAGTCACTCAAATAAATGAAATGGACGTGTGTCAATCCACTTATGTTTAAAGGACTTTTTAAAAGTCCCGAAAGTCCTCTCAAAATCTCGAGGCGCCTTCTTGAACAACTACTAAAAGCGTGCACGCGGGAGGTTCCCTTCCTCGAGTCTGATGGACGAATGTATTGCCAAATTGAGGGTGTTGCGATGGGCTCTCCTCTTGACCCTTATTCGCCAATTTCTTTATGGAAGATGTAGAAGCCGTCACACTTGAAAATGACAGCATGAGACCGGGCATTCACTGTCGCTATGTGGTGGTTAGCGACAGTGACCAACCAGAACGCCTCAAAAATACGTTTGAAGAACAGTCTGGTTTATCATTCACAAAAGAATTAAGTGTGCAAAATGTAAAGCCTTTCATTGACGTAACTGTTGATAGACGAGGACAGCGATTTAGAACGACTGTATACCGAAAACAGACCAACAACGGACGGTGTTTAAATGCTGACAGTGAGTGTCCTCGACGCCACAAAATAAGCGTCATAGAGTCATTCCCTAGACGTGTATTTAAGCATTGTTCTGATTGAACAGTATTGCATTCGGAATCGGTACGGGGCAGACAGATTTTGGTGAATAACAGTTTGTTTTCAAATTCCGACGCTGAAAACGAAATGCAACGGCACATAACAAGGCACTCTGACAGCAAACCAAAACAAGACAAACAAACAGTCATCCAACTTTATTCTAAAAATCAGATGGCATCTGCCTACAAGAAAAAAGTACGGGAAATCATCTCGACGTGTAAAAGGCAGTAACGACCACAAAATAGACATCGTCGTTTATTATCCCAATGGAGAAATATCTGACCTTCTTGTGAGAAACATTCCAGACAAACCGTACAACTGAAATAAAACAATGTGGCGTATGAATTCAGATGCAATATCGAAAGCCGCATGCATAGGAAAGTATCTCAGAGATGTATGGCTTCGTCTAACACTCCGCTGTTGCATCAGATTGAATGATTCCGTAGAAATTGACCTCGCTGAATCCATGGCCTGACTATGACCTGCCGTAGGTCAGCAACCTGACAAGGTACAGCCACGTGTTTGATACCAAACGATCCGCTATATTGGTGCGGTATTGGGCGGTATGTTCTCCCATAGAGTTCCTGACTTGCGTTATATTCACTGTACCTTGTGAACCATTACATATGAATCACAAGTGTACAAATGCATTGATGGCGTCCAAGTTGTGCGTGGGAAATGCAAGTGAGAGTAGAAAGGTGGGACACGAATCAACAAGTACCTGCTAATGCCGAAGTGTCCTGCCGAGAGCAAAGAGGATCTAGCTCACATCAAGCAACTAACAGCAGGGTGAGAAAGATAACTTTGGTTCCTGGCTGCAGCGGACAACATGCTCATTGCATGAGATGCATCAATTTCGGAGGGGATGAAGAAACTAAGACCGAGGGTGGAACTTTGTTCTGGTAGACACCTGAGGGGGGACCAGTTGAATCAGCACATGTCATTTGAAGCTGGGGCTGAACTCACGCTTAGGTAATTGACTAGTTAAACAGAAGCTGAAGTGTTGCCATGGAGTTTATTTTTGAAGTTGTCCCCGGCAAAAGCTAGGATTTCAAAACTGCGGTGTGTTTTCTACCAACAAAACAAGCCCCTGCATAGTTTTTTAACCCTTAAATGCAATGCCACCCTTTGGAGTTAAATGGGATTGCTGGCGAGATCAGGACTAATGGTAGTTATGTGATGATAAAATAGGTCGGCGGATTATTAGGCATTCTAGTTATCTTGGAAGGGATGACAGGTATAATTTGCTATGGCAGCATATATGATTGGTACTCGCTCAATTTGTCAAGGTGGTCTGTCAGAAAATTTGTTTAAGGTATGTTGGGATCAGTTATGTGCCTTGTAGGCTATTTGTGCATTGCGTGGAATTTAAACTGTTGTATTTTATTGGTGAAAAGGTAACGCTTCTAGCTCATATCTCTATGGAGTATTTTGGCTGCTATTTAATAATAGTTTCCATTTGATTGGTTTTCCGTCCATTCAATCCGTACGAGCGGGCAAAGTTGAGAATCCAGTCCGATCCTTATCCATGTTTCGGTGGGAATTTCTGATTTGGTCCAACCCTGCCCGTGTACGTCCACAATCCGTGGATTGATCCAATCCGTAAGGTGCTCTTTCGTCCGTGTCTCCTACCCGAGGCGCGCCCCGCGTCTGTTATTCGACCCCTCCCCTCGTCTCTGTCGTACCTCGTCCGCGCCTCCCGTCTCACCAAACCCACGAGCGGCGTGTCTGGTGTGACCCGGGCGCGCGTGTCTGGTGTGACCCGGGTGGGCGTGTCTGGTGTTACCCGGGTGGGCGTGTCTGGTGTGACCCGGGTGGGCGTGTCCGGTGTGACCCGGGTGCGCGTGTCTGGTGTGACCCGGGTGGGCGTGTCCGGCAGGTGTTCGACCCGGATGAGTTCTCGGCGCGGCCGGCGGCCGTGATCTGCCGCCAGGGCTCGGCCGACTCGGCCAGTCGCTCCCCCACGCCGCCCTAGACGCCTGCTGTGTCGGCGGGTGGCCGTCCCGGTGCCAGCCTCGCCCCAGGCCTACTGAACCGAGCGCCCGCCCACGGACGGAGAGCCGTGTCCACCTTGTCGTTACCACTTCGCCAAAGAAAGCTGCTGCTCCTACTCAGATGAATCAATAACGTATCGCGTGTGTGGTCGTAGAGTTAGCGCCAGTCGTGTTGTCTCGGGGAACAGATCTGAGTAAAGCTGGCTGTCCGAACCCTTCAGGTACGCCATGTTCTAGTGCTTTCACAAGTGGAGCTAGACGTTCGCAGTGCTCCCACGCCTTTGTCGAACAAGACCAGAACATGCATGGAATGCTGTTTTTGTGGCGTGCAACTTATTACCAGGTGTGGGAATCATCGGTGTGAGCAAGCAACCAATTTGCAAGCTAACGCATTAAATTGGCGTGTTTTTTTTCTGTGGTTGTGAAAAGTGCAGCTATGGATGCAATACTGAGCGGAGTTAAGCACCGGGTCTGTCAGCCTACCTTGCTAGCTCAGAATTGTACATTGATGTCTCAAAGGATACGTGCAAAGTTGTCTCCTGTGTGCTTGATGCTATCTTGCTTCTTTGGTTCCTGCAATTGGATGCGCGTTGGACGTACGCTTCTTCGGCCTGCTTTGGTCATTGGATGACTTATGTGATCTGCTTTGATCACTGGCCAGTTGCCCCTGGACGTTATCCGCGTCTGAGGGGCCCGATCAGCTGCAGGAAACCCGGCTTCCCTTTGCAATCATTGTGTTGGCGCTGAACGCCCTGTTGCAATACACTGTACCGAAATCCCGCTCTCAATCCACTGATATTATAAGTTTGAGAAACGAGCTTCAGGAATGGATGATCCGCATAACAAATGGCAGCCAACATTTGCTCCCTCAGTCCAGCTGATCATGGTTTCTCATTTTCACGGATGGAATAATTCTTCGGGGTATTGTCCTCGTATGGTACGTTAGTATGCACACAGCGCTTCGGTCAGCTAACTCTTCGGCCGTCGGCAGGTGTTGTGGAGTCCTTAGGACTGGATGCTGTTTGGATTTCAGCCTCGTGTGCGTCACAACCCGAATTTTCTTGTTGAAATTCGATTTGTTTTCCCATGATTCGAAACCGGAGTCTTCGGATTGCGAGGTCAGTGCTCTACTATCCGACCTAACCGGGACGGATTAACGGGAAGGTCTGCCCTTCATGATTCGGCCATTCCTGTTAGCCTATCTGGTAGAGCGCTAGTCTTGCAATCTGAACACGGGTTCGAGTCCCAGCATCGGATACCACGGAGGGAACTTCAGCCCGAACGCATGGCTGAAGGCTCAGCATTGAGCCATTCTGAGAACTTCATGACACCGGAAAACGACCAGTTAGCTGGCTGAAACGTTGGGTACATGGCAGCAAACCAGACGAGAACAATAGTCTGAACAGACTCGATCAAACAGACTATCACGGATAGGATAATCCGTGATATTAATACCTCACCTCCATTCTTCCCTAAAACTTCTCATTTTCCCAGACTTCGTGGAAAGCGTCACGTGCCGCTCCCCGCCATCTGCTTGTACTGTTGAACTTTCTGGGGCCTACGGCGATTATCGATCGTTTGTCTGAGACCAGCTGGCCTCTCCCGTGCCGTCCGCACGTCTTGCAGCTGTGAAACCGGCTGCCGTTTATTGCAGCGAACTTCTGACCGCGGCCCGATCAGGGTCGGCAGTCGCGACGCATCCAGTGGGCAGCGAACGTCAGTAGTGGGGCGGTCAGATACCTTGGCGTCCTTCCTCAGATGTACCTGTCCAGTGTCGAATCTCGACTCTTATCGCAGGTGCGCCAGTAATCGGCTTATGCACCGCAATGGATCGGAGCAAAGACGGGTTTGCCTCGCATGTTGGATCTGCCGCAAAGCTCCAGTCTCGGCCAAGGACAGAACTCCGCGGTATCCGCATGGGCATTAGCACCGGCAATGAAGCCCGCTCAATGTCTGTGTCCCGCAATAAGCTGCAGCAGGTGGTGCTCAAGTTCGGTGATCGTTTTGCATCGCTCAAACTGCAGGCAGCAACAGAGCCCACTCCCAGAAAATGGGGCGCTGAGCATCACGTGACCTTGTAAAAATCGCAATGTAGCGAATGTTTTGCTTTGAAGTGGGGTCGGAGCGAACGGAAAGCACGCCCTCCCACGTGCAACCTAACCGCGCAGGCGCGGGCACGGCGATGGGGGGGGGGGGGACGAGGTAGGTAATTCCGTTCTGCAGCAGCTGGTTCTCAAGTCTTGTCGTTTCTCATCGCTCACGCTGCAGGCAGCAACGGAGCCTGTTCCCTGAAGATGGGGCACCTGGTACCCTGCGCACTTGTAGAGATCGCAAGGTAGCATATGTTTTACTGTCCCATGTTAGATCGGAGGGAACAGAGAGCACCCCCACGTGCAGGGTGGCTGCCCAGGCTCACGCACGACAGCGAGCGGTGGCGAGGAAATCAGCAATTCTGTCCTGTGTTTGACAGTCAGCATTCCCTCTGTGCTGATGAATGCAAAGAATAGTCTTAAAAAGGCTGCCCACGCCCTCTGGGACGTCCTCACGCCCTTGCTCGGCCAAACCTTAGCCGCCTTCGCCCTTTACGCTTAAGCAGCGCTACACGGCTGTTGTAATGCCGTATTCCGGCTGGGGCACGGTGAAGAGTGTCGCCTCGGGACGCCCCTGCCCCTCGTTCAGTCTGGGCCTTACCAGTTCTCAAGGTTACCGGTGTCACGGCCAAGACCTGCACGGCTCCCTTCCAGGCGCATAATGAGACTAGTCACGGGCGGTCTTGATCAGCAGGAGGGGTAAAACTGATGCAGCCAGATAGGTCGCGTGCTACCTGGCCGTCGTGGCCCCGACCACTCGCACGCTCCCCGCGTCAGCGCCGCGCCCGTCCCCTGACATGTTTTGTTCGCTCTTTAGTGCACCCCTGCTACTCTCCCCACTTCCAAACGCCGTCCACCTGCTGACCGCTGCGCTCCGCTGCCTGACGAGCGGCGGCCGCCGCGCGCTGGAAGTCCCGCTGACTCACGCCGCCGCCGCGCGGCAGTACGCCGCCATGGCTCGCCGTGGAAGCTCGCTGTTACTGCTGGCGCTGGCGCTGGCGCTGGCTGGCGCCGTGCCCGAGGTGGTCGACAAGAACCCGGCACTCCACCGGCTCAACGACCGCGTCATCTCCACTGCGTTCAAGGACCGCAACGAGGTGGTGTGCACGTACTGCCTGTTTCAGGTGGTGGCAGCTGCATTCCAGCTCGGCGACGAGCTGGTGCGCCGCGAGATCAAGGACGCGCTCGGCTCGCCGCAGCCGCAACAGCTGAGCGAGGCGCTGCTGGACGCGGCCGAGAGCCACTCCACGTTGTCGGGCACGCTGAAGGGCTACTACCAGCGCGGCGTGCTGGACGACTGCCTGCGCCGACGCAGCAGCCGCTGCGATGCCATGGCTGAGCTCGTGAGCCGGCGCGCCGTCTCTGTCAATTTCAAGGATCCGAGGACGGCTAGCACCATCAACGAGCAGGTGGAGCGCGCCACGGACGGCCGCATCAAGCAGCTGTTCACGCAGCTGGCGCCCGACACGCAGCTGGTGTTCGCCTCGACGCTCGTGTACAGCGATCAGTGGCCGTCGCGACTCTCGGCGCTCGACGGCCCATTCATGAAGCCGGACGGCACCACCATCACCGTGCCCATGCTGGTGCGGGAGGAGGCAATGCAGGTGCTGGACGGTTCACGCGACGGCGTGGTGGGCGTGGCGATGACCTACCGCGACCCGTCCATTCAACTATACTGCTTCACTACCTCAGGCGCCGGCGATATCCGCAACAAATTGTACCAACAGCACTTCTTGGACCTGGCTGCCGCGCCCGCAACCTTCACACAGGTGCGCATTCCTAAGTTCGACATCGTCTCCAAGAAGTACTCGTACATCGACCTGGTGCAGCTGATGGGCATGCGCGAGATGTTCCAGGGCGGCCTCGGCCCCCAAGACGTGCTCAAGGTGGACCAGCTGGTGCACAAGGCCGTCATCCAGACCGACGAGGAGGGCACATCGGCGGCCGGCGCCGCCGGCAGCGTCCTCGTGCCGCTCAGCGCCGCGCCGCGTCCCTTCAAAATCGTGTTCGACTCGCCGTTCATCTGCTCGCTGGTCGACACGACGCTGGGCCAGCCGCTCTTCACCGCGTACATCGTCGACCCGAAGAACGAGTAGATACGACAATCTCTCATATCATGCTCGGAAGTGGTGCCGTGGCCTTCCCAGCCGCTTGGGAGCATTTGTTTTGTGTACCCGAAGCCAATCCAGCATTTTCCAGAAAACTTTCGTTTTGTCTCTTATTTTGTTTTCAGGATTGTGCCTCTTTTTTGTATCACTGTCTTGACGTTCATCATCTATATCCAGTGGCATGGCATGACAATGCACACGAAGACACGTTTAACCTCATACATTCCACGTGCATTCCTGCTTTGTGATGGATCGAGATATCCAGCGGCCCTCACATCTGTGGATGAAAATAAGAGATCCGAACCCTCGAGTTTTCTTGCATTCTGCAGTACGTGTTGAGAGAAGAAGAATAGGATGATGACCTGCAGCATGCAGCCTTAAAATGTTTATAGGCTGACACGCGCTCGGGTAGGGCTGGGGAGGTCAAATTGACCCCTCCCGCAGACGGGTTTTCCACCATAACTTCCGAACGACGCGGCGTAGCCACGCCAAACCTTGCGTATCTGTAAAGAATTAAGTAGCAAATCTGTTGATGTAAGGAATTAGATGTACCTCGTAAGGTCGCTGACCTACGGCAGGTCAAGGTCAGGAAATGGCTGCCAATGGAGGACATTTTGGGAGAATCGTTTAATGTGATGCAAAAATGGAGCGTTAAACGAAGTCATACGTGTCTGACATAGTTTCTCAGGCAATAAACCTACTGAATTTAGAATCACAACCAATTCCATTGGCCTCAGTACAGGTAGAAAGGTCAGAACAAGGTCAAAGATAAGCTGCTTTTTTAGTCGAAAGCGTGATTTTTTGGGTAGTTTGTTGTGCTCACTTCGTTTTTCTATGACAGGGATCGCAAATGGCATGTCTCATGGCCTTATTAAGGATCAGAGCAGGTCACTGACGTAAAATGATTCTGGTCAACATTCTGTTTTTAGGAACATGGCGTCTAGCGTTATCACTGACGCTTATTAGAATGGCAACATGGGAGCAATATCGTAGGCATTTGATTGCTTTGACCTTATAAAAGTCAAAAACTACCTCGTTGACCTCGTGCTTGAAATGAGCATCTAGCTTCGCGGCGGCTGCATGAGGATCTCTGGGGGTGTAAGATCCCAATTTGGAATTTGACCTTGGTTAACTGTTTGAACTTAAGGTGATGCCATAGGGACACCAAATTCCTATCATTTATTTTGACGCAAGTGAGTTCATGCACAGGTCGACCTACCCTGTGAGTTTGGTGCCTTAGATATATTGGTTTTCGAGATCCCAGGGAGAGGGGGGCAAATTGACCCCTCCCCACCTGAGCGAAAGGGTGTTCAACCGGCCTCCCGGGCACGCATTACGCCGCTGGTCAGAACGTTGTACTGTGTCTAGTTTTATCAAAGCTGTTGAGAAATCCAATATTTTAGGTCACAAAGCGCTGGCTCACTGCTGGTCATTGCGGACAACACTGGGATTCTTTAATGTGGGATTTTTAAGGTGATTTTGTCCTTCAGAGTCACATTTAAGAAGTCTATGAGACTAGCAATTCACCCACCGCTTTATTTGGCGACGCGTTCTGATCTCGCCGGAGACGCGTCAGATCGTGAATATATTTCACAATGATCTTACTGAAGAACAAAAAGAGGCGCTCAATCTTGGACTCAATTGCCATATTTTGTCGACACACGATAAGCTTAAAAGAAAGTACAAATAAAAATGTTTACCAGGACATCTTGAACCTGGAAAAAGGACAACGTTGCCGAAGACGAGGATTTAAAGAACAGCTTATAGGGAGACCGTGCGAAAATGCCTGGAAATGACATCAGCAAGGTGCTCACACAAAAATTCAGGACAATGGCAAAGGAACTTCGTAAAAAGGTCATCATTATTCGGCGAGCGGACAAATCATCGCATGAAGTTAGCAATTCGTTGATCGCTTTAATTGGCGACGAGTCCTGATCTCGCCGAAGACGCCTCAGATCAATTATCGCGCGAGCGCATTCAATGTGAGGCTTATTTTGCAATGACATGTGTCCTTCAAGGTCAAGTCACCGGAAACTTCATATCAGTCAAAAATCACCTGCAGATTTGGGATTTCTAGGTACTAGAATATTCACCAGCGTATGAACTACCGTCCATTTGAAAGCCCTTTTCACTCAACGTCGCTTTTCAAGGTCAAATCCAGGTTCAAGGAAGTGGTAACTCAATATCACCCCAAATTTTCGGCCGATTTAATGATTTTAAGCGTCATAATATGCTCCAGCGTAGGAACTTCCGCCTGTCAAGGAAGTCCAAGTCTTCCAAAGCTATGACGTCTCGAGATGCAATGACGTCAGACCCGATTGCACCAAAAATTTACCGGCCAGGTTCGGTTTTCAAGCATAAGAATATTCACTACGCATCAAGCAACGGTCGCTAAAAAATCCTGGCCTACCAAGGTCTTCCTTTTCTGCCAGTTTCGGTTCAAAGAACAGGGAAATCCACATCATCCAAAAATTAGTGACCGAATTGGAAGCATTAAGCATCAGCTCGTCTTCAACGCATAAACCAGTGTCTATGAAGTGATTGTAGAAAAGGTCTGACCTATGGAGGCCACCCCCTAGATAAAGTTACGGCTTAAAGGACGGGGAACTTAGCATCACTTCAAAGATGACGGCCGATTTGAGATTTTTAGCATCAAAGCATTCATGAGCGCGTTAATTAGAGTACGTCGAAAAGTACTGATTTTTCATCGCCACACGCATGGGTGATATGAACTTCTCCATCCTTTGAGGCTGAATTTGACCTTAAAGGGCAAGAGTGGTTAACGCGTAAACTGCACGTCTGGAAAACTAGAGGCATGGGATTCGATTCCCAGGTGTCTACCCTTCCTGCCAGGGTGAGAAGCAACCGACGCATATATCCTCAGCAACTGGCAGCGTCGCAAATCCCCACTGACGGCGACGACGACACTGAAGGACGACTTTCAGACATCATGATTTCTTAATAGACGCTAGTTCATACGCTGAAGATGATTCGTGTGCTTAAGAATTCCAAATTGTCCGGTCACTTCTAGATGATTTCAGGTTCGTGTCAATTCACTTTTTAATCAATTAAAATAATTTGCTGATCAGGATTTTTGACGGACCTAGTTCATGCGCTGGTTGATATCCTACTGCCTAAGAGTTTGAAATGGGCCGTTAACTTTTGGGTGGTATGGAGCATCCCGTTATTTGAGCCTGAACCTGACCACGAAACGTTACTTTGCTAGGTCGATATTTTTTCGAGGACACTAATTGGTCGTTAGCACCAATCACGGTCCAGTATTCGCCTACGTCACTTCATGTGGTTCACAGGGTCATATGGTATATGACGTCACGCGCCGGCTGACGATGAGGCCAGGATTTTTTGTCAGCCCGTCAGCATGAAGAGAGAGCGCTACCAGATTAAAAATCACTCAACTCAAGCGGGAATTTGATTTCGTGGCTCTTGCGTTGACGAGTGCGTCAGGTGGGATAGGGGCACTTGCCTATAATTTTTGGGGAGATCCGGCATGGGATGGATAAGGAGGGAATTAAAATGCCAAGAGTAGCCATGAAAAGGTGAGTGACAGTGTTGGTGTGGTGTGTGGTTACGTTGTCAAGCAAATTAATAACGTTATAAGTAAAAGCTTGAAATGAGAGGGAAGAAATTGAAATGTATTGAGGATGAGAAGAAGCACTCAATATACAGATTGGATATATGACGGTAATACCGGAGTAAAAGCTACACTTCCGAACACCACTTGGTACGAGGTATGTCGTCGGCACGCCAGAATTAGCGTGTTGCGTGGTTATAGGTAAAGGAAGATGAGAAAGCAAAGTTTACAAACCCTCCCATCAGCTCACACATAGAACGCTCTGTCAGCACGCGTGACGTCACGCATTCCAGCTGACAATCGTGCTTACGACGACGACTATGAGTGGAGTTTTATGAGGGATGATATGGAGTGGGGCCTCGGGGACTGCAGCACTTTCTACCTGCGATGGAATTTTTTTATCTACCGGAATAAATAAGAGCGCCGTTTGCGGTCGTTTGCTGCGTCTGCCTATGTGGCGCACAACGGCACGTCTATCGCGCGGTTTTTAAAAAGGCTTCAAACTGAATGGAAACGTCCGCAGAAGGTCGCAGGGTACGCGGTGCGGATTTTGTGTCGGGAGGGGTCGCCCGAAACTGTTGCACGCGTTGTGAGAAGGAAAGGTTAGCACCACCGCCAGGTTAGACATTGGAATCCATCAGGGCAAGTGATTAACATGAATTAGTGCACATTGGGATGTGCAGTTTCTGACCGTGGGAAGGAGCTCGCAGGGCTAGATTTGTACTTAGCCAGATTTGCCTGAAAAACTTCTGCTCTAGCTAGAGCGAGATAAACTACTAAAACTCGAGTCAAATTGCTGTTATGGTACTGCCCTGCCCGCTCACAGCTCCTTTGCTACCTGGCCATTGATGAACATTATATGGGTGTATATAGCAATTGATAGATGCCTGTAGGTGGGGAGAATGGTGAAACTAAATGGTGCTACAATTTGACATTGCAACTTGGCCTGCTGAGTGGCTTGCTCTGCAATGCCTCTGGAAACGTTAACAGCATATTTCAGGATTTTCAGTTCCAGAGTCCTCTATCAGTGGGCCAGATCTTCATGACTGGTTATTTTATTACTTGTTGATTAAACATGTAGGTATCCCTACAAATGTGCAGATTCCTTATTTATGCCTTAGCAGTTTTTCTGGTGCATCTTAAACTTAACCATGTTTTAGTGACAGACTAGACAGTCAGATGGAGTTGGTCAGTTGCATAGCCATCTGGATAAAAGGTGATGTTTCTCATTGGTAGTTTGACAGTTATTATTGTACAACCTATCACAACTATGTATTGAGTAAGGCAATCATGAGTGGAGTTTTATGAGGGGTGATAACAGATGTACATCTGAATTTACCAATGTTACAGATCAAAATGAGCTACCCAACAACCAGAAGTGACCATCACAGTGTCAGTAAAAGGTAAGCTATCTGCCAAGAGTTGTCAAAAATAAAAAAGGTATATTTGTTTTGTTTGTGCATGATTAGGCTGCAGTTAAACTGTGTTATGCAACATTACACAATAGCATCATATTTGTACTTATCATTGTACTCATGTTTGGTTTCCATGGTTAAGTTTAAAGCAAGCAAACAGACCTCATAAGATTGTTGGTCTTATAGCAGTGATGTGGCTTGCACACCTATTCTAACATAACAGTTTTATGGTCATACTACTTTCTAGTCTTATTTTGACTTATTCAATGCTTTCATTTGCCATATTGTAGTGTACTGTATGTAAAAATATATAGTTAAGTTTAGGTTAATCAAGTGCCTCTTAGATTTGAGATGGCCATTATTTTCTGTCTATTTTAGGGTTTTTCGTTTCTTTATTTTGCCCATTTGTATCTGATGCTCCAGTGTGCTAAAGCCCTGGAAGCAGCAGAACACAATGCAGTACACAACAGGGCTGCACACTCTCCACATAAACTCAAGCATGTGTGCATGGACATCAGTTTTCTACTTCATGTAGTTTTATCATTTCTTTCCATTACATGGGGGCATCATTTCATTTGTTTGCATTTGTATACACAACTATGTGAGTTGGTGAACTGCAAGACACGTTTTGCCAGTGCTTGATACCCTGATTCTGGACTCGTTAGTCATAATGCAATATGTTTTGGTTTTTTGGAAGGCATTCCACAAATTAATCTTGCTTTGTTTTTTCAGGCTGCAGACAGAATTAATGACTTTAATGGTAAGTCACATACCCACCTTCTGCATTTACTTGGGACCCAATTTTGGCACAGGGCATAGAACATGTCTGAACATATGTTGGAGCAGTACATGAGTGCAGTCCTCTCCATGGTCTAGGGGAAAGATGATTGACTTGTTATCAAGCTGTGCCAGCATGAGCTCCAGAGCAGGTGCATTGCTTGGCCCAGCTAAAATGGAAATGTCAGCAGGCAGCTGGCCAACAATGATCAACCCAGCCGCGGGGGTGAACCGTAGAGTTGTGCGGCGCGTAAAACCTTACCCATTTCTGCTGGGCAAAAGGGTGAGTTAAACTCATCTGTTGAACTGGACAGCAGAAATTGTGTGATGAGTTCAGGGTACATGCAACAAGTTATGCTTGGTAAATGCACAGAACCCAGAAGCCATTCATACATTGGAATGCACTTATCACAAAAGGTGCTTTTGGCCAGCACCCACCTTCCATTTCTTCTTTCTAAGAATATCTTGTTAACTCTTTTATGTGATGGCTGATGATATCAATTGCAATTAAGTAACTATTCATGATTGAAAGGATAGCTGTAACAAGCAGAAAAGGATCCAGTTCCAACGGAAATAATGGCAAAGGCATGTTGGAAGAGGCAAGCTGCAAATGTAATCCTTGCAATACTGGCAGTGTAACTGAGCTTTGTTTTTCACTAAATGTGTGCCCTTATTTTGCAGACGTCTGGTGACAAGGGCATCTCAGCATTCCCAGATGGTGATAACCTCTTCAGCTGGGTCGCCACCATCTCTGGAGCCGCCAGCACGGTAAATGGCCGTCCTGACGTGCCTCTTTCGGTATTATATACTTGAACCTGAACTTGGTGTATCCATATTTTTTAATACAGATGCGTGGTGTCGTCCCACCTATAAAATGAAATGTACATCTTGCGTCATATCCCGACAGATCTTGTCATTAGGGCTCCCGTTCCATTCTTCGGTTTGAAGCTGGCTGACATGCCGACTTCCTTACGAGGCACGGAAGCCCGTACCGTTTCGTCACCTCCGTGAGTCATAACCTTATCAGCTCTCAATGTCGATTCCGCCGAATATTTTCATTTACCCCTGCTTCCGTTGTGTTTGCTTCGCCGACACCGAGCGGCGTCTGACGGTGCTCGCCGTCGTCTCGCACCCGCCAGGTGTATGAGGGCCTGGAGTTCAAGCTGCGGCTCGACTTCTCCAACAACTACCCGTTCTCGGCGCCGGTGGTTCGCTTCACGTCGCCCTGCTTCCACCCGAACGTCGACACGCAGGGCAACATCTGCCTCGACATCCTCAAGGAGAAGTGGTCGGCCTCCTACGACGTGCGCGCGCTGCTGCTCTCCATACAGAGTCTGCTCGGAGGTGAGCGGCGAGCGGGCGCGCTCTCGCTGACGTCAGCGCGACGGGGTGTTGTTCAACAGTCACGGCGTGGTCGCAAGTCAGTGTGCCGACGTCTGGCAAGGTTACAGCGGTACCGGGTGGCGCTTCGACGCCAGCGCGTTGGGATCCGCTTCTGGTTACAGTTACGATGATGTCATTTTATGCGGTGACTGGGATTCGCCGTAGTAAGCGCGCCAGTAAACCTGACTGCCCGCGCGCCGCGCCGGCTGGCAGACCAGCGAGTGCCGCCTGACCAGAGCGCCGCGTGCGCCACCCGGCCCACTCACAGGCCGTCTCCGACCTGTCGTTTCCAGAGCCGAACAACAACAGCCCGCTGAACGTGCAGGCGGCCGACATGTGGAGCGACCCCACGCGCTTCCGCGAGAACGTGCTGGAGCGGTGTGCCAGCTGTGTGCGCCACCCGTGAGCCGCGACTGCCGCTCTAGGTACCAGTGGGCCATCTCACCCCATCCCCTCCCTCCCCCTGTTCGGTGACCCACCGACGGGGGCGAGCTCGTGAGGCCGCGGCTCCGGCCTGGCGGCAGCGGCGGCTGAGTCCAGATTATACCACTGCTCAGTCTACAGTGTGCTGGCGCCAACTGCGGGGGATGACTCCACCGGGAATCTTCGTGCTCTGATGTAATACTCCGCATTGGTTTTGATGCAGGAGCTTCGTCCGTCTTCGTTTCATCGCTAAATAGACCATATGAGTTGACGTAGTCATCGGGCGTAACGTGTCTGTCGGCGTGGATTTGGTTTGAGAGGCACGCAGGGCGTGTTTTTGGGTGTGGTGCTGGAGTTAAGCTTGTAACCGATTCACGGCATAGGTAGCTCATGGTACAAGCGCGCTCGAATCAAATGCACGCGACGTCTGACATTTGGAGATGGGCCAGGGAACTGCATGTGTGCATAAATGAACATCTAGCGGCGAATTTGGTTGTCGTACTTCATTTCTTCCTAGCGCCCTACTGACGATGCTGTGCTGCTGACTCCAAACACCGTGTTGGGCTTCGTGAAACATTTTGTGCGCGGTCTGGTTTCTCACGGGCTCCTCGAAACATCTTACCGCTTTTTGTAATAGATGCTGTCGATCTGAATCGGACCTCCAGCCTGCGTGCCCCACATGTCCTGGGCCGTCTCAGCCGTCTGCTGTCTTCAATAAACAGAGTACTGTGGGCTCAGCTTCCGTCCCAGAGTCAGCGAGGTGGTCGGGCTCAGCCCCGTCCCGGAGTCGGCGATGTGGTTGGGCTCAGCTCCCCCCGGAGTCAGCGATGTGGTCGGCGCCAGCAGCATCCGACGCCGGCGCGCGCCGCGCGGCCTAGTGTATACCATCGTAACGGCTTCCTGGCAGACTCAGTAAAAGCGCTCAACGCTCGGACCGCACAGCGACTGCACTGGGGTGAGGTTCTGTTATCTCCAGCTGTGACGGTCAGCTTCTTATTGCCGTCCATGTCTTACAGCGGCCGTGGTCTGATCAGCAAGCCAGATGACCTCGAGTGGGTCGAACACAGGCGAGCAGGGCAGCACAAGACGAAAGCGTACTTTCCGTAAAACAGACCGGGCAAGCGGACACGCGTCGGCTTCATTGGTACTACTACGGCCATCCAGGGTAGTGCCAAAGAGGGTTAGGTCTCAGGCAAACCAAGCACGAAGTATCGTTGTTCAGAAACACACGAATGACAAAAACATCACGCGATGAAACACTACCCACGAAAACACCATGCGATGAATACTTTATTCAGTATATCCAACTCTGGTCATTGCTCATAAACTGAGACGAAAGAACAAAGCAGCTACCACTTTGGGTTGCTATAACCGGACCATTATAAGCCCGCGGACGCGTCTTATCACCTACGTCTTCTAGTGCGTAACAACAAGTGTGCGCAGTCTGTGGGCTGAAAGGCCGTGCGCAACTACTCTTAGCTGGCTGCTGTGCGCAGTTTAACGACAGCTGTGCGCGGTCTGCTGACACCTGTGCGCAGTTTGCTTATGACCAACCGCGGCTCGCGGACGGAACGCACTCACGGCGGCGTTTTGGACACGCTGTCCAATGGCCGGGGTCCTCTCCAACGCCGCGAATCAATAGGCCGCCATCCACCACCCTGTCCGGGTGGGACACGCGCGCCTCCCGCCGCTGGGGCCACGTCGGCGCCATTCTCCGGATGGGGCCGGTGCCTGTCGGCACCCGTCCGCGCCGCTCAGGGCCGCGGCGCCAGCCGCGCCGCCGCCGCCGCTGCCGCCACCAGCGGCCAGAGCAGCGGGCTGACGCCGTAACGCGTGCTGCTGCCGCCGCCGGCCACGTCGCTGTGCGGCAGCCACGCGTCGGCCGGTCGGCTCCTTTCCAGCTCGTCGGAGAAGTAGTTGCGGTAGTACCACTCGTTGGCGGCGTCGACCGCCGGCTGGGCGCGACCGCGCGCTGGCGCCGGCACCGCCAGGCTGTCGCCGAATGGCACCGTATTGCTCTCGGGCGCGCGCGCCGGCTCCGGCTCGGCGGGCCGCGGTCGCACCGGCACCGCCGCCGCCGCCGCGCCGCCGCCTGCCGGCGCGATGAACTGCGGCAGCGGGTAGCCGTCGTACGGCTGCACCATGGTGATGCTGGGACGGCCGCGCGGCTCGGCCGTCTCCGGCGCCGCGGTCGAGCTCGGCTCCCCGTCCTCGTCCTCGTCCTTGGCGTTGACGGCCAGCTCAGCTTTCAGGCGCGCCTCGTACGTCGTGTTGGCGGGCGTGTTCCAGTTGTGTTGGGGTGCGAACGTGTCAAGCTCGGGCGTCGCGCTCGGCTCCGTGGGGGCGGCGACTGGGTTCACCGGCGGCCGGTGCGAGGCCGGCACTTGCTCGGTGGTGACGGCGGCGGGTGGTGTGGTGGTTTCGGCGCTCTCCGTGACCGGCTCCGTGACGGTGTACTCGGTGGCCGCGTCAGTGGGCGCGATGGAGTCGTGCCGCGCCGTCTCCGTCGTCTCTCGCTCCGCCGTGTCGAACCAGTCGGCCAGCATGTCCGTGAGTGGGTTGCCACCTGCTGTGGTCGTCTCTACGCTGGCTGGCTCCGTGGTGTGGTGCCAGAGCGGGCTGCCGTCGTCCGCGGGTGTGCTCGGTGCCGGCTCGGGCGGCGCCGTGCCGACCTCCGGCTGCTGGCCAACCGTGGTGCCGGCGTGGTGCGAGCCGCCGGCCGTCTGGTCATCGGTGCTCGGCGTGGTCTGCTCGGCGATCATCTGCAGCAGGCTGTCCAGGCTGAAGTCGCCCAGCTCGTCCTCGGCCGTCAGGTACGGGTGCTCCGTTTCCGCCTCGGTCGAGGTGCTAGGCTCCCGCGCCGGCGTCGTGCTAGTCGGCGGCTCGGTGGCGCGCGCGCTCTCCTCCTCCAGCCGGCGGATCTCGTTGAGCAGCGCGTCCAGCGACATGGCGCCGCCGTCGGACGCCGGCGCCGGCTCCGTCCACGCATCCTGCAGGCCGAACGGCTCGCCGCTGGGCGCCGCCGCGTCGGCCCGCTCCGTGGACGCCGCCTCGGTCACCGGCCAGAAGCCGACGGCGCCGGACGCGGCGCGCGGCGGCGCGGCCGGCGACGGATCGAAGGGCGGACTCGGCACGAACGGCGCGTCCATCGGGATTGTCTCAGGCACAGAGGGCACCTCTGGCCGACGCGCCGGCGGCCGCCGCTCGCCGTCGAACACAACCGCGTTTAGGCTGCTGGCCGCGCCCGGGTTCAGCTGCGGGTCGGGGAACACGAACGCGTTCAGACCGTGCGGGTCGCCCGAGTCGTCGTGGCGGATATGGCCGTGCTTGGCCGGGATGAAGAGCTGCTCAGGCGGCACCGCCGGGGGCGAAGGCCGCGGCCGCTCGGCCGGCGGAGGGCCCTGCTTTGCTGGGCCAGCGCCGGGCGGCAGCAGCGCCGCTGCCGGCCGGCCGCGCTGCTCGTAGAAGTCAGGCCGCCGCTGCGGGTGGGGCGCCGCCGCGCCGGCTGGCCCGCCGCTGAAGCCGGCGCTCGAGTCGGGCCTGTACGGCGGCTTGTGCGGGTAAAGCCCTGGTGGCAGCGGCCCCTGCGCCCCACCGGCCAGGCCGGCGCGATCCGAGTTGCGGTTGGAGCTTCCCAGGCCGAACGTGAGCCCGAGCTTGGGCAGCAAAGTGCTGAGTGTGCCCAGTGTGCCGAGCGTGCCCAGGATACCGAGCGCGCTGGGTCCGCCGCCGCCGCTCCCGTCTGTCTGCTTCTGCGTCGAGTTGGCCCGCTTGATGGAGCCGACGTAGATGGTGGGCGTGTCGCCGGCCGTGTGGTCCGGGTCGGCGCCGGCCAGCGGCGTGGTGGCTGTCGGCGGCGGTATTTGCGCCGTCGTCTGCGCCGCCAGCGCCGGCGCCGCCCGCTCCGTGGTCACCTCCGGCGGCGGCGCCACCTCGGCCAACGACGGCTCGGCAGACTGCAGCGAGCCGATCGTGTTCGCCGAGTCTGCCACACAAGGGAACAGTCGGTTTGGTTCGGCGAAATGGTGAGAAACCAACACGATCGACATTGGCTTCGAGCCAAAATCGAGATCCGTGATCGTACCGCCGCGAGCCCCGGAATGGAGACTAAGAAGGGAGCCATGCGCACCGCGCCTGGAACATTGACGCTTGGGAAGTCTCATTGGACACGAGTGAACTGTTTTTGGGAGGATTTTTCTGCCCATCATATTCTGAGCAGCTTGGTCGTGACTTCTGTGACTTGAAGGACCCCAAGCCAAACGTGGTTCACTCGCACGCAGATCACACCTGGGTGCTGATCACGTTAATATTGGAATGTGCGGGCGGCTTCCTTGTTAAAACTAAATATTCTAGATTATACTAGATAAAACTAGATAGTAAAGCCTTGAGCATACAGCTTCTATGGCTGCTAATTGATGTCTGATGGTAAAAGGGTGCACCTCAGCACGAGCGTAACGTACACCACAGGTTGAAGCTGACGGGATGCAAAACAGCTGGTCGTTGACTGGCATAAGTGACAATGCTGCCTGCCGAATGTGGTTGTCCTAGCAGTGGGTTAGCGCCAATGGCACGGGCGACAGTTTTGGGTTATGCCTCACGCGCGAGATACAGTCCCCTTACCGGCTGACTTCGATCGAAAAGGCACTCGTTTGTGTTCAAGGCCATCATTATACCAGATTGCACCATTTTGGGCCCTGTGGACGGGTTCCAAGGAGAAAGAGCGCAAAAGTATAGTACGCGCAGTGTACCAGCGTGTTGGCACGGATTTCCTTAAATTGGGCACCGTTCGATAGCCCTGGAGCCGGTCTCTCCAGCCAACGAATTTCGGCCGGTTAGCTCACCGTTTCTGGCACTCGGAGGATCTCGAGTCCAAATCTTTGCACGCGCTTGTGGAGTACGCGAACCGTACGCGGCTGCCGATCGCGAAAGCACGCACGCCCTAATGGGATTCATGTTGTCATCCGGGCTTGGGCCATTGACACCCTCCGCTCGACTTGTTACGTGAATTCTGCAGACGTTCGGCTGGCAGTGCCGGGCACGTGCCACGAGCTCGATTTTGAATATGTTTTCAGAAAAGTTGCATTTTATTATGTTCGGCTCTTTCAGGAAGTGAAGGCTGAACACCGGGCGCGCCCGTAGGACGCTGCAGTCAGCATTTGCTTGGCGTGGCCATGGTCAACTTCCACTTCGCAGCTCGCATTCCATCACAGCTCGCACAGGCACGCAACATTAAACCATGCGATGAAATTGTGAACTTTTGAGGATTTATCGGTTGGCCCATACTTGCAGCCTTGTGCATGGGTGCAGGCCAGACAAGGTAGGGACCAATGAGTTCAGGGTACCAAGCGTCTTCACGATCGGCTCGTACCGCGTCGGACTGGGCCTCACAGGGCGCCGCCTGCCGGCGCAGAGGGCGCCTCGAGCGGCACACGTACCTAGCGGCTGGTCGTAGTGGGGTGAGCCGTAGTCGGCCGGACCGAGCCCCAGCTGGTGCGGCCTGCGCGCGCCGCCAGGCCGTTCGGTCGGGTGGAACACGCGGAGCTCCGAGTCCGTGAACTCTGGACAGGGCTCCGTGTGGTCCAACGACGCCCTGCGGCGGGGGAAGGCCGTCAGTGGCGGCGAGTGCCGGCAGAGGCTCGCCGGAGAGAAGGGAGGGCCGTCGGTGTGGGAAGGGAGGGGGATGCAGCACGGAACGGGCGGCAACAGTCACCGCCGGACCCTTTTCTGTTAGATTCCTTTAATTTCTCTCCTACTCCCGTCTTCGAGATAATGCTCAGGCTCTTAGCATGCCGCATTTGCAGTCGTCTTTTACTCCACTCTCCTCGCAATTCAGACATCGCATTTGTATGGATAGAACCGTGCAGTTGGCGCGTCGCACCTCCCACGTTCATTGGGAGGGGCGACTGTACCTTGTGGATTGCGTCAAATGCGTGCTTATATCCATCAATACGCCATGTTGCATTGTGAAGAAAACGGGATCAAGGATGACTGCAGAGACGGTATATCAAAAGTTTAACCACTCTCTCGCGTTCCAATGGCATAATCTTGTGTTGCCAGTCTGACCATTTTAAGGTGTGTCTGCCCCTGCAGCTCATGGTGCCGCACCAGTATGGACGGACGGATCTATTTGCAACGCATCGGGTTTTCAGTTCACAGCTTCGCTGTAGCTTGTTTCATTTATCGATAACAGAACCCTCTGGGACTGTTCATTTTATCAATATGTCATTCATTGTTGACTACGGTCCCAAACTCCAAGAAATACAATGAATAGATAACAATGTTCACTATATTTCAACAGACTGGCCCTCTTCTGGTAAGTTTTGAAAGTTGTAAGTTATGGCAAACCATAAGATATGATACGGTGCTTGATATAAATCCGGAATGCGGAACGTTTATGGGGACACATAATGTGATTCTTTTTTAAAAATACCGACGCATTTCAATAGGTTAGACCGTTTTATCCCCTCAGCTAGTTCGTTCATTGCGAAAAACAAGGGATTCGATGACAGAAATAGAGCGAACAGGTGACAATGAAGAAACGACATGAATGAACATGAGGGGGGAAGTCAGGCTCCCCCCCCCCCCCCCGGCCGGGCGCGGGTAACAGCGCCATGAAACTATTCCTTTAGAATGTTTATTTTTTGCGTCTTGGATGTGCAGGTGAATTATGTAAAGTTATGCCAGAGTGCGTTTATTTTACGGAAAGCTTGGTCATGTATGTGTTGTCTGGAGAACGTGTCAAGGGGACGTCTAAAAACGGGATAGCGCCGTGTTTATCCTGACGTTCGGTTGAAAACCGCATGGATGGGTGGAGAGAGTTTTGGGAGAATGGAGTTGGTTTTGAAACCGAATGAAACTTGGCTTGCCCGGTGTACATACCCCAAAAAGGTCATCTTTGCAACGCATGAACAATTTCGACATAAGGGGGACATCAATCTGAAGTTTTTGGTAATGCATAAATAGTATGGGGACTGGTGGACCCATTTTGTTCCCCACGGCTAACCCCGATCATGAGGTTTTCGACGTAAATCACGGTGAGGTGAAACATCTGAATATTGCTTAAAACGTGCCGGAGCATATCAGGTATCACCGTGATGGCTTCATCTATAGGGATATTGGTGTGTGGTGATGACGCATCCATTGCGAATAGAAACGCACTTATGAGGAGTTTTGATAGATATTTTGATTTAAGCCTCGGAGGAATAATCTGGAACTGGTCAGATGAGTGGGCGCAAAGTGGACGAGTTGGGTGATGACACGTGCCATTAAGAAGGATGGTTCTTCAGTTAAAGAGCAGCAGTTTGATTCCATGGGGCGTAAATGCATGCCTGGTTTATGATGTTTAGGGGGATCGCACCATGCTCGTCATTTGGAATTTGTGCGGGAAAGGTGTTTGGCCTCCGTACTCTTACCAACTTCCTTATGGTAGATTGTACAGTAGTCGGAACGGCTGCTGTTGAACTCGCTGGTTTTGAACCCGCTCGATATGGACCTCAGTGCACCGCCTTTGTATACTTTTGTAAGTGCGTTTACACTGATTTATGTCGTCCTTTTATTGCCATCTGTTTGCTCTATTTCTGTCATGAAGTCAACTGTTTTTCGCAATGTATGAAATGTCTCCCAGGTTAAGATAGCCTAAGCTATTGAAATGCGTTCGTATTAACACACTTTCATATTCCCACAAACGTCCTACGTTCTGGACTTTCATTGAGCTTTGCATTATTTGTTATGGTTCACCATAAAATGCAAATATCAAAACTCACCAGAGGAGGACATGCCGGCGGAAATATTATGGAATTCGCGACCCATTTAGTGTATTTCTTAGAGTTTGAGACTGCAGTCAACAGTGTACGGCATAATGTAGCTTGTTCCGTGTACCATCACAGCCACAATGTCACAGTTGCCTTCGGCCCAAGCCGCGTAACGCTCATCGTTTGCACTGGCGCGTACATGCTGCACGCAGAGGCCCATTTTTTGCACCGAGCGTTGAACGCCCACTCGCCTGTACCTCTATATACCGTGTGGCGTGCACCCCATACCTGTCACGAGGCGGCGCCCACCTTTCGCAGTGGAAGTCGTTCTCCCTCGTGCGCAGCATGGGCACGCCGCGCATCTCCTGAGGGTAGTAGCAGATGGGCTCGTGCAAGTGGCGGCCGGCCGGCGGGTGGCGCGCGCGTAGGTCACCCAGCCACTCGCGCAGCCACTGGATCTCGCAGTCGCACCGCAGCGGGTTACCTGAGAACGACGTGGACAGCGTTAGAAAGAGAATATTTTGCATTTTGATGAAGTTTTGCACTGAAACGACCATTTTGTAGACCATTTGGCAGAGTTCACAGCTCTGTCTCTCTTAAGGCCCAAACCCCTTTAGCTCTGATCTAGACGCCCGCGAAGATGGGCAGACTATTTCGTGCAGTCTGTTTCAAGGTCACCCAGGCATTCTTGACGCTATAATAGCGTCATTAAAATCTTGCAATTACATTGGTCATGCGGCGAAAAAGGGAGAAATGAATTGTTGAGTCATTCATGTATGGTGTTCGTGAGCACGATTTCCAGATACAACGGCAGTCAATTGACCCTGAATCGATGTTGTGCAAGATATGATGGCACATTCAAAGAACGACGTATTGAGGAGCATATTTACAAGATTGAGAAAATGTATCGTCTATAGTGGTGTTTTCCATTCAAAAGCATGCCAATAGCTAGAGTTTAGTTTATTTCATGATATCTGATGCTTCGATTTCTTCAAATGTGGAACATTTCCTTAAAAGGACGTATCCCACCTTTTTGTACTTTTCACTATTTGTTACATTAGATGCGCACAATTTGATCAGTGATGCCAGTTTTCTCGGGATCCTAAAAGGCTCAGTATTTCAGTCTGAATTAGCCTACCTTGCGGGAGAAGTCTATTTTGAATCTATTCTCACTTCTATGAAAATCTTACGTTTTATTTGCCATATTTTTATCATATCTGAGAACCATGTTTCATCATATCTAATGCTTGCTTCAACATTTTCGAATTTGGAACCTTGCCTCGGAGGAAACTGGCATGGTTGTGAATGTTGTAGGTGGTGCCCGTGTTCCGATATGTCCAGACTTCACCGGTGGTGTTCTCTGTTAGGGCAATCCATTTACCCACAACACTTCTGGTAGATCTGCCACAGCAACTGATTTTTTCACGTAAAACTAGGAAAGTTGTCAACGGAACGGGAGACGAAGCCTACCATCAACCATCGCCGTCTCTACCATCAAATCGATCCGACGCTAGTGTTCAATTGCACTCGTTCTCTCAAGACGCAGCGTATGCACTCACTGGCTGTCCCCACGCTCAGCCCGCTTGTGCACACTGTCACTGGGCGGACCCTGAGTCCCGCCCCACTGACCTGAGCCGACCTTGAGCCCACCCCACTGACCTGAGTCGACCTTGAGCCACCCCACCGACCTGAGTCGACCTTGAGCCCACCCCACCGACCTGAGCCGACCTTGAGCCAATCCCACCGACCTGAGCCAACCTTGAGCTCATCCCACTGACTTGAGCCGACCTCGAGCCCACCCTACTGACCTGAGACGTCCAGCTGGTGGAGCACGGTCCGGACGCGCCGGAACAGCGGCTTGCGCAGCGAGCGGATCCGGTTGTTCTGCAGGTACACGGCGTCCATGTTCCGCTGGCCAGCGAACGCGTCGTCGTGGATGCGACACATGCCGTTGTCGTTCAGCTGCAACAGCCACTAGGCGTCACAGCGAGCACCGGAGACGCGGGAACGGTCAACCGTGCTGTGCCGTCAGTTGCTACCTGCCGGATTCTGGAGCTGGGGGGGGGCCCGACGCTGGTAATGACTCAATGATGCCAGGTGCAACAGCGCCACTCACATCTGCGCGAACTCACGCAATATACACACTATACGTATGTTGATGTACAGCTGGTGAAGTTCTGTTAGGCGCAGCTTGGCCTAATGGACCACCAGCAATGGTAATTGCAACTGGTGACGTTCCTGTTAGGCCAGCTGGCTATAGGACCATCGCACGGTTATTGCAACTGGTGAAGGTTCTGTTAGGCGCAAAGCTGGCTCTACCAAGACAGTGGTAGCAGTGCGGGGTTAATTGGGAAAAGAAAACAGACCGATTAAAAGCGAGAAATTGCGGAGAACCAGCGATGTGGTTATGTACCGGCATCAGGAATATTAGGTTTGTTGAATGCATGAAACTAGTGAATTCTTTGTACCAGTCAAACCGCCGGTGGCACCCAATGATCTTGCCTTTTTCAAAAGGAAGCTCGACACAGTCGTCAGCCCTTTGTAGAGACGCCAGTGACTGCATGGTTCCTCACACAGCGTCAGAGGCTATGGTGTTCAATGCAACTGGTGCCGATACCAACTATTTTACATCTTATACTCTAGTGAGTGTATTTGGATTACGCCGTGTAGGATGCCTCCCGAGACGTCTGTGCAAGTGGTTGGACACGTCTGGGAACGCAGTTCTTAACTTATGTGTCGCCTGTAAAAAGTTGTAATTATTGCGACCACTCTTAAAATCAACCAGCATGTTCCACAGATAACCAGTGTTACTGCGTACCAGCGTGTGCTGGCTGGATAGATAAAAGGTGAGGGTGGAAAGATAGAGGGTGTCGTCCGGGATCGTTACTCCAGAGAGCGTGCGGGACTGCTGCGGCCCGATCTGTCATGCCGGGGCCACGCGCGGGCCTCTGCACGTCCCGGGTCCCACTGATTCCGGAGCAGCGCGGGGTGCCGTTCCGGCCTGGGGCGCGGCCGCGCGCGTCGAATGTCAGGCGACACGGCGTCGGGTGCCATCGCTTCCGGCCGGTCACGGCGCTGGCGGCGTGTCGCAGCGCACGCGGACGCCCGGCGAACCGGACCACCGCGCCGAGCCGAGCCGCGCCGCGCCGCGCCGCGCCGCGCCACGCCACTCACCGCCGGCACCGCCACCTCCCGGCCAGGGACACAAGCGTGCAAACCGGACTTCCCGCCCACTCTTAGGGCTGCTGACGTTTCGGTGCCGTGACGCTCGAGGGGACTGTGGGGTTAATCATGAAGTGCATGCGTCTCTATATGAATAGTGGTGTTGCACTATTCTTGTAACTATCACTAAAGAAATAACGAATATTGGGAAAATGATGTGGAAGGTAATATCAGTACAGTAATGCTCAGAGGTGTTAATTTTTGTGACTTCTTGCGAGGGGGTCGGACCAAGAACTCCAGAACTTGCCTCCCCCGATTTTTTCTCGCCGAATTTATCTTACTTAATTTTGGTGTACGGCAAAAAAGGCGTGTGGTTTCATTTTTTGTATAACTGATAACAAGTCTTTAATTTAAGCAGCCGAGTAGTCATGCAAGGGCGGATCCAGGGAGGCACTGGACGCACGCGTCTCTTGGGATCGACAAGTGAAGGCGCCCCTTTAGAGACCATCTTAGGGCGCCTAAGGCACTCTTCTGTGGTGACAATGGGAGGCGGTACGCATTTTAGGTTGTGGGGGACCGGGGCAGTCATGAAGAGTTAGCCATGAAGGACTTAGGTCATCCCCATATTCCAGAGCTTTTCACTTTGACCTTCACAAACGATCGCGTGTATTTTGGCCCTTGAGGTGTAAAGTTTATTGCATCGTTTATTCCGCTCAGCTGTTACGATTTGTATCTGGTGGTGAGAGCAGGCCCCGACTATTTGTTACGAGAGGAAAGAGGGTCCTAGTGTTGGTAGGTGCACAGCAATATACGAGACACAGGTGTCTCTATGGGGGGGGGGGGGCATAAATCCGGGTGCATTAACGAATTTAGCTACCCGGGTTTGGGCCAGGCCATCAGGCCAAACCACACACCCCATTCTAATTTTATTTTGTCCCTGAATTAGACCCCCATCCCCATGCTAAGATGGTTTGCTTTCTTAAAGTTGCTGTGACATGCGCATGGTGCGCGAAAAAAATGACCTCGATTTGGCGCCAAACCACATTTTTCAGCTCAGCTATTTGCCATGTCATTAAGAATTACATAGAACGGCACTTTCATTGGCGTATTGGTCATTAGAATGCTTTCATTACATACGTAACGAAATGCGCTGTGAAAAAACAACGAAAGGATGAGTCTACTGTAACCGTGATGTAGAAAACGCGTGTACTATTGATAAGACTTTCACATGCCTACCAATTTTTAATACGCAGTCGGGCCGGGTATCAATGGGAGCCCTTCCCCTTTCGAAGGTTTTCCAAAAATAACTTCTGGCCGATGCGGCGTAGCCGTTCGAGAGTTGATAGCTGTACAACTACATACAAAATTGTACGTTTCTATGGGGAGATAAACATACGGCTACATTAACAACAAAACTATGGCCACGACGAAAGTTTTTGGGCGCAACGCCACGCCAAACTTTGCATAGCTGTAGACAACTGAATAACGGATATCTAGGTGTAGAAAGCTAGATGCACATGGTCAGGTTGTGACCTATGGGAGGTCGAAGGTACGCCATGACTATCAGCAAAGACAATTTGTGTGGAGTCATGCAAGGTGATGCGAAGACAAGATGTTAAAGTGAGTATCCCGCCTTTTTTACTTTCCACTCATTGTTACATCACACGCATCCCATTTCATTGGTTACACCAGTTTTCTCGCAATTTTTCTAAATACCTTAGAACTTCGATTTAAACAAGCTGACCATGCGGGAAAAATCTCCTTTGAGTCCATGCTGACCAATATGAAACTACCACACTTCATTTGCCGTGCTTTTTCCAATGTATGTGTCCTGTTATGTTTAAAACACACGATCGCTTCAAAACGTGTGTGTAATATATGTTTCAAAGGCTTGAAACACTCCGTTGAGACAAAAAGGCGTGCGAGCATTAAGGTAGTATCCCACGAATTCAACGAAACGTTTTACCATGGGTTTGATTTATCCCCTTTGGCGTTTACCACAGCGCTTCTTTTCAAGGCGCGCTTTGGCTTCGGGATGGAAGGAAGTATCACTTGATACATGTGACGCACTAGTTCAAACTTCCACCAACGAACTTCTCGGCAACCGGCCCTCGCCACCCGTTGGGCCAATCGCAAACGTTCTCTTGTTCGCACAAGTAAAGGTGTGCACGGTCCTTGTCATGACGACGGTGGTCATAACCGTAGGGGAGAAGCGCGTTGCTGTTGCAAAATTTTGGCAACACAATATGGACCAAAATTTTTCAATTGATGTCTTTTTATGTCGTGACGGTGTTGTCGCTCCAATGCTATTATTGGACGTCACTAGCCCTGAGCTTTCACTACAGCATATCTTGGAAATATACCCCGACGGTGGGACACTCCCTTTACACCAAGCAACACATCTCTGACATGGCTTCTCAGACAAGCCAACTGATGTTAGGATAGCGACTGACTCCATTGAACTAGGGTCCGTATGAAGGTCGGACCATGGTCAAAACCAAACTTTTGTACTGAAGAACGCGCTGTAAGAGGTGGTATTTGATGCTCCTTTCGAACTTCTTGATCACAGGGGCGTCAATAGGCATGTTATCTGGATCGCTTGCAGGCAAGAAGCGGCCACTGACCTAATATGACCGATATCAACCCTTTTTCACGTGCGGAGCAGCCTTTCCGACTGGCATGATCTGAAATGCGTACTTGGAACAGGTATGTAGGGTTAAGGCGGTTGCATGAAGAGGTCCGGAAGTACTTCGAATACCGACCTGGAATTTGACCTTATTGGGTCCAAACGTCAGCGGTATTTTGACCTAGTCTATCTCCAAATTTGGTGCAAGTGAGTTCACACACAGGCCCTCCTACCTGGCGAATTTAGTGTTTCTGGTTCTCTTGTTTTTTATCTTATGTGTCAAATTGAGTGCCTCCCCTACCGAGCGTGTCGCAAGCACCCGCGCGACTACTCAATTGTTGCGCGTCTGAGAACTTCGTCTTGTTGTGCGTCTAAGCACAACATACACTTCTCCTTCGCAGTGTGAAATCTTTATCGGTGAACCGAAATTGTTGAATTCCCTGGAAATCAACGATAATGCAGACAAGCATTTTAAAGCATGAGGACCACAGGATTTCAGGTGAAATCCAAACTTTTCTGTCCTTTTGCCGTCAGAAATGTAAGACCATTGTTTGTGTAACGATGTATAATAAATGTAAACGATGTATGTTAAATTCCACGCTTAGTCACCCATGCACCCACTAACTGCACAAAACTGTTCCAAGCCTGACAGAAAGGTTTGGATACGCATGACTGGTGAGGATTCCTCCCCAAGCCCGTCAAAGCTTCCTCATTATGGCCGCCAGGCGTCTTGACGGTGAGTGCCGGGCCAATGCGGGTTAGTGAACGACAAACGATGATAAGTTGCAAGTGGCGGGTTTGAGCATGCGACTCACCTTAAGCGTTTGGAGGTCAGCGAGTGACCTGAAGGTTCCGTCGTTGACCTCCAGGATGCGGTTGTGACTGAGGTCGATCGTTCGAAGCCCCCGCAGACGCTGAAACGTTCCTCTGGGCAAGGTGGCCAGCTGATTGGCTGACAGGTTGTACGACCGCAGTGCCGGTAGATTTTCGTAGGCCTCGTCTGACAGGTGCGTCAGCTGGTTCTCCTGCAGGTTTATTCTCTCCAGACCGTTGAGATTGACGAAGGTGGCCTCCTTCAGCTGCCGCAGGTTGTTGTTGTTGAGGAATATCGCCTTCAGCTGCTGGTCGCCACGGAAGGAGCCCGGGTCCATCTCGACCATCGCGTTGAAGCTGAGGTCCAGCTGTCTCAACGATGGCATGTTGAGGAACGTGTTGCTCTTGATGTGCTCCACATAGTTGTGGTGCATCTCCAGGTGCTCCAGTGAAGGCGTGTTCTCGAACGTCGTAGACGAGAGGAAACGGATGTTGTTGTAACTGGCGTCCAGATACCTGATAGATGGAAGTTGGTTGACCATGTTATCAAACTCCACCAGAGTATTGTTCCTGAGATCCAGCGTCTCCAAGTGGTTTAGGTTATGGAACGTCTTCGGCGGGATGGTGGTGAGAAGGTTGTTGCTGATGTTGACCACCCGCAGCTCCTGGTTGCCCTCGAATAGCTCCAGTGGGATAGTCTTCAGGAAATTGCCACTGAGCTCCACCGACCGGAGGTCACTCATGGTTTTCAGGATGCTCGGGTCAAGTTTTGAGAGCATGTTGAAACCAAAGTCCAGCTCGCGCAGCTTCGTCAGCTTCTGCAGGGACTGCGCCGGGAGATCGCGCAGCATGTTCTGTTTCATCCTGAGCTCGGAGAGTCCGCGCAGTTCTGACAATGAAGCGGCGGGGAACGTCGCGATGAAATTGTATGAGAGGTCGAGGACTTTAAGCACGTTCCCCACTGGTAAAGAATTCGGCTGAATATCAGCGATTTTGTTGAATTTCATTCTGAGATCTTGGAGGTTTTCTGCACTGGAGAATTGTCCTGTTTCTACGGACACTAGCTCATTAAAGCTCAAGTCCACCTGACGCAGCTCCTTGAGATTCTTGAAAGTCATCGGGTATATCTTCGGCAGCGAGTTGAACGACAGATTCAGGAACTTGAGTTTGGCCGTTCCCACGAAGGCATTCTCATCCACCACGTTGATGATGTTGTAGCTGAAGTCGGCGTGCTCCAGCTGCGTGACATTGCGAAGAACGCTGGCGTGCAGGTGGGTCATGTCGTTGAAGGAGAGGTCAAGGAGGGTCAGCTTGGGCAGGTTCCACCAGTCGCTGCCGCCCTGCTCCATCACCAGGAAGTTATGGTGCATGTGCAGCTCCCGCAAGTCAGGCATGTTCTTGAAGCCGTTCCTGTCCACCTGTTTGATGTTGTTGTGGTTCAGATACAAGATCTCCAGCGCAGGATGTGCGAAGGTGTTGCCTGGTACAGACTCGATCAAGTTCATGCTCAGATCCAACACTCGCAGATTCGGCAGCATCCGTAATACTGCCGCACTTCCTGTTAGATCGGTGATGTTGTTCTGCTTCAGCAATAGCTGCTCCAGGCTTTCCATGCTGAAAAATGCGTCCTTTTTCAGCGAGTTGACATAATTGTTGGTAAGGTCCAACCGTTTGAGACGCGGAAGAACGTGGAACGCGTCCTGATCCACCTTGGTGATGAAATTCTGCCTCAAGTTGAGAATTTCCATATTTTTCAGGTCAACGAACGTACCCGTCTTGACGTACTCGATCAGGTTGCCACTGAGGTCAAGCCGCCGCAAGCTCTGGGCCTCTCTGGCCGCGATCGTCACCACGCTGGCGTCCCGCACGCCGTTCCCGGCGAATGATAGGTGATCCAGGTGCTGCGTGGGGAAGAAGGCGCGAGGGTGGATGTACTCGATGCTGTTGAAGCTGAAATTGGCCACGCGCAGCATGGCCAGGCCGAGCAGCGAGTTCTCGCCGAGCGTGGCCGTCGGGTTGAAGGTGTAGTGCAGCACGCGCAGCTCGGGCGCACCGCGGAACGCCCGGCTTGGGATCTGGCCAATGCCCGTACTGTTAATACTCAGCAGTCGCAGCCGGTCGGCGCGCGCCAGTGACGGCAGCGTCTGCAGCGGCGTCTGCTCGATCAGCAGCGACTCTAGCACGTGCAGGTCGTCGAGCGCGTCGAAGGCGAACTTGTGCGCCGCCGGCTCGCGCAGCACCAGGTGCGTCAGCGTGTCCTCCAGCCCGTGGAAGGCACCGCGGTCCACCATGGTGACGCCATTGTCGTCCAGCTCCAGCCGGAAGACGCTGACGCCGCTGAAGAGCCGGTGCGTCAGCGCCTCCAGCCGGTTGCGGCGCAGGGTGAGCCGCTCCACGGTGCCGCGCCAGTGCGCCAGCGTGACCAGCGCGTTGTGCAGCTGGCTCGGGCTGGCGTTCTCACATCTGGGGGCGCGCGGGAGGGCGGGGTGAGTGCAACGCCCCGGAAAGACGGGGTGAGCAAGCCTCCCGGACGCAGGGTGGAGATAAGCACGCCGCCTGAGAAGGTGGGACCTATCCCCATTTTCTCCAACTCGAAACATGGAGTGATATGATGGTTTGAAATTACCATGAAGAGAAATACATGCAACGCGCACAGCTGCGAACTGCTTTGCGATGCATCCCATTCTGCATTTCTTTCAACCTCCTGCATTGTTTGCCTATCCCGATAGTAGAGGCGTAGCCAGAATTTCGCCGGGAAAAAGATCAAGTCCGGTCTTAGGGTGCTTTTTGCCTCCGTTTTCGTCGCTGTATGGGTCCGTTTTTTATTTGGAGAGCCGTTTGAGGTTTGGGATCCTATTTTGATGCCATGGGAGCTCATTTTTATGTTAACACGCGTTCGGGTGCGGTCAAATTGACCCCCGGAATGTTTTTCCAGGATGGTTTCCGAACGGCGCGACGTAGTGGTGTCAAATTTTGCATAGCTGTAGGCAATTGAATAGCGGATCGGTCGCTGACCTACAGCAGGTCGAATTCAGGCCATGGATTCTGCGAGGTTAATTTCTAGGGAGTCGTTCAATCTGATGCACCAACGGAGTGTTAGACGAAGCCATACATCTCTGATTTACTTTCTTAGGCAACACAACAATTGAAGAACAAATTCCATTTATGTAAGGTCAGTTATGAAGGTCAGACCGCGGTCAAAACCAGCTTGTTTCATTACTCTAGGGCTTGTTGTGTGAAGTAGTTTTTGGTGCTCATTTCGAGTTTATTGAGCACAGAAAGCACATTATGCATCGTCCATAGACTTCTCAATGGTAATAGTAGGTCACTTACCTAAAATGACACAAGTCAACATTTTTCTTTTAGGAACATACTGCCCAGCGTAATCTTTGTCGCTTTTTCAAATGCAAAACTTAAAGAGGTCTCGTATGATTTTGGTAATCATGACCTTCAAAGTGTTAGACAAGGTCAATGACCTTTAATGAGCATGTGACCTTTTGCTTAGAACGGGTATCTAGATTCTGGGAGCATTTTGGAGACCAGCCTGTATGTTGACCTTGTTTGACCTTATTTGACCCGAAGGTCATGACCTAGGAACCTCAAACTTTGACCTAAGTTAGTTTGGATACAGGTCAACACACCTGTAAATTAAGTGTTTCTAGCTCTGTTACATACTGAGATCTCAGTGGGGATAAAACTGACCCCCACCCGAGGGAAGGGCATCCAACCGGCCACCCGGGCGCGTGTTAATAAAAGCCCTACAGCTGTCTTAAACTGCCGAAACGTACTGAGACCGTCGGTCCCAGTAAGGCCCGTCACCTACAAGGAGAAGGGGAGGGGGGGGGGGGACAAGTGCCAAAAGCTCGCCGTTGGCTACACCACTGCCTGATTTACATTCATCTGCATAGCTATGCTTGCTAATAGACGGCCTTCTTCATTTCCTGGAAGCCCTCGGAGGCAGCTGCGCACTAGCCGATGCCCTGTTCCGCCCGGCTGACAGGCCCCTCCTCAGCCAGTCCTCGGCACTCACGTCACGTAGACGGCCGTCTCCCGGGCAGTGCAGACGCAGGGCCGCAGGTCGCCGTCGATGGGGCAGGGGCGCGCGTGGCCGCCGGCCAGCGCCGCCGCCACCAGCAGCAGGCGGGCGCAGAGCATGCTGTCAGCGCCGCCTCTGCCGCTGCATGGCCCCGGCCGGCCGGGCGCACCTGGACGCGGCGCCACCACGCGCTGAAACGCAGGGGTCCTGGTGAGCGCGGCGCCGAGGACGGACAGCGCGGCACGACGGAGGTGTGCGCACAGTGCGGTGGAGGACCCATGATGTACTCACATACGTATGCAGGCCACGCCAACTGTCGTTGAAATGAGCAGAGGCTAAACATTTGTTTTTGTCATGTGAGGATGCCCGCCCCCACCGTGTTGCCGCACTAGCTTTTGCAAAGATCTTTCACCAGTGTTTGGCTCAGTGGTGGGTCCAGAGGAGGAGGGGGGGGGGGGGGCGAACTCGAGGCTTTCCTTAGGCCCGAAAGGTGGCCAGATCTAGCGGCACTAACGCGTTTTTAACACAAAACGCAACAAATTTGATATTTTGTGCTCCCAGGCGGCGTGTGTGTTTACAGTGTTTCCCCGATACGTAGTGGAAGGAATGCCCCCCCCCCTTCCTCCTGATTCTTTTGAAACTCCCGTCACAATTTTCGTGCCGTCCGTTCTGCTGTTCCCCGTTCCCGGCGCGGTCTCCGGCGGTGGCCAGTGCAGAGACATGGCGCCGAGCTACGCGCTGATTGCAGCGGCGTGCCAGCCAGACGACGGCCGCTGCCGCGACGGGCGAGCGCCGCTTGTGCAAGCCGGGCTCGGTCGTTGTGACGTCACGCTCTAGATGGCGCCCGCTCGGTGTGACGTCATCGAGGAACGGTCGCGCAGGCGACGTCCCGTTGAACAGTTAGCTGGCACTGGGTCAGGCTTGGTGACGGCCAGAACCCTTCGGCTGCGATCGGCCTGACGTCTGACCCAGCCTGGCAGCCGAGACACGGTTGACACAGCGGAGCAAAATGTTGAGTTCTGTGCGGCTGCTGGCATCAGCAGTCCTTTGCTCGTTTTAAGCGGTCACGCAATCGCCCGTTTCGGTCCGTGGCTCATCTGTCGGCTTTTGCAAGCCGGTTTCACGCCTCTGTGCGTGATTCTAGTCATTTGTCGGCGTCTGCGTTGGTCACTTCGAAAAACTACGGAGCGTATTATTTAGGTTGCATGCAATAATTCCATCGGTGAGTTTCGTGAGCGTCGCTACTATTTGTATGCCTTGCGGCTCTAGACTTGCCTTACATTTAATGGTGAGAGGTGACTCATTCGCATCAATTGTTTCAACCACTGTATGCAGTCTGCCTTACTTCATTAACGGTATCCGGAATCCTACAAGTCGGTCACACCTTCCGGCATATTGCGGCACAACATTCTCAATCGTGGCTCTCCAATAGTGCACCCTCGCTGTCCACACCTTCAGAACAAACTGCGGTAGCGTGCGTGGACAAAAGGACCTCCACCGCATAGTGAATACACGACAGCGATGTCCAAACTAGCCGAACAAAAGACCCGGGACACACACTGGTGAAAGGCTGTCCTGCCATGCATACGCTCCTAGCTGAGCCAACACCTTGTCACGTGAAAGTGTTTTATCCCGCTCCAGTACCCCGACCGGCCAACCCAGTCCGGTGGCAGCCAGCGATCTCCCCAGCGGAAGCCCCTCTATCGGGTCGGCCGCTGGGCTGGCAGTCTGACAGCCAGCTCCTCTGGGCAGCGGAGAGGCTACAGACGTCACGCGCCTCAGCCCACAACCCCAGACAGCCAGGGCGAGGTCCACGTCCAGCGATTCCGCCGGTCCTCCCGGAGCTCCGGCCTTCACAGTCTGCGCGATCGTGCGTGGTCGACACGCGGTTGGCGTGCTGTTGATCAGAGCCATGGCGGCGAGACGCGTGCCGTCGATCAGGTTACAACGGTCCGCTGCGGAATAGCTCTCCTCGCGGCGTGTCGCCTCGCGCCTGCGCCGCGGCCTCCTGTAAGCTACGCTACCCATGCAGGCGCTGCACCGTTTCATTCCGTTTGCATACAAATCTGTTCACGAAACGGTGTTAGTCGCAGGGCGTGGTTCGGTTCGTTGAGTCAGGATTAGTGCGACGTTTTCGTCGACGCGATGTGAGCCATGCGATCATAAAACAACGGAGACCCCGCCGCTGCGGAACTGCGGCTACTGAAGCTGCCTTGGCCATTGTCAAGTCGTTCCTGTAGCTCTCATGACGTCTATGTTGCACCGTGAGTATAATAGAGACCGGAGACCATGCAGTTTGGTTGGATGCTGCCCGATCCCTGTGCATAAAACACCGGACATCCAGTGCGAGATTCCATCTTTCAAGCATCGGGTTTGAACCCCTTAAGCCGTCTGATATCGGCCAGGGGAATATTTACTCCTGTTATCCAGTGTTGCCAGTGGATAGCAGGAGCGTCGCCTCCTGAAGTGGTTCTTGAGTACAGCCCTGTCGCATCACCAGTCACCTTCCGGCCATTCCTGCAGTACTGGCCGACGGAGGCCGGGCTGGCCCACCGTGTCCGGGGTCTGGCAGAGACATGGCCTCGAAGGCTGCCCGGCGCCTCGGGCCACCGTGTTCCCGGGTCTGGCAGAGGCATGGCCAGTTGTACCCGCGCCTCGGGCCGCGTGTCCCGGGTCTGGCAGAGGCAGGGACCAGGCTGTACCCGGCGCCTCGGGCCGCCGTGTCCCGGGTCTGGCAGAGGCATGGCCAGCTGAACCCGGCGCCTCGGGCCGCCGTGTCCCGGGTCTGGCAGAGGCATGTCCAGCTGAACCTGGCGCCTCGGGCCACCGTGTCCCGGGTCTGGCAGAGGCATGCTCAGCTGTGCCCGGCGCCTCGGGCCGCAAACTACCATCAACCGCCGTGACCACCATCAGATAGCCCGTCCGTCATGAGCATCTGCCTATCAGGGGCGAACACACGAACAGCTGGCCGCGTGCTCAGGCCGGCTCGGGGCGCCCTGGCCTCCACGACGAGAGGACTTACTCGGCGGCGTGCCGAGGCGCACCACAGAACAAAGTCTCCATGCCGGATCTGAGCACTGCGCTGTGCAAAACTGTCAGGGCTTCATGAGCTCTTTATCGGCCGGCCTAAGCGTTCAGTAATTGTTTAGTCAAGTCAAGGCAAACCGTGCGGGGTGGAACTCAAGGATACGCCCGGCGGCAACTGCGGAGGTAAAAGTGCCGTGTTGTTTGTTTTGTTGCCGTTGAGTGCCTCGT